GGGAGGCGGGGCTTGCAGTAAGCCAAGATCGCACCACTGCACTCCAGCCTGGGCCACAAAGCAGACTCCATCTCAAAAAAAAAAAAAAAAAAATTAGCCAGGTGTGGTGGCGCCTGCCTGTAATACGCACTACTCAGGAAGCTCGGTGACACGGTAAGACTCATCTCAGGAAAAAAAAAAAAAAAAAAGAAAGAAAGAAATGAAGTAATCTCATAAACCACCTAAAAAGGTGTCCAACACATGGCAGGTTGGCCCTGCCGTGCTCAGAGCCCTGGTCTTCCCCTACACTACTCAGACGGGGAGAGGGGAGGTGGCCGATATACAGGGGCTCATGGGTGAGGCAAAGGCAGGTATTTAACAGATATATCCCATTCTCCATCCAGACACCCACTGGCTGCACCCAGGGCTGGGAGGAGGCACAGGGCTAGGCCAGGCCTGGGTGATGGCTCTTGGGGAGGCCCCAGGGTGACCCAGCCTTGAGGAACTGAAGGAGGGAGTTTTTTTTTTTTTTTTTGAGACAGAGTCTTGCTTTGTCACCCAGGCTGGAATGCAGTGGTGCAATCTCGGCTCACTGCGACCTCCGCCTCCCGGGTTCAAGTGATTCTCCTGCCTCAGCCTCCCCAGTAGCTGGGATTACGGGCGCATGCCTCCACGCCCAGCTAATTTTTGCATTTTTAATAGAGACAAGGTTTCACCATGTTGGCCAGGCTGGTCTGGAACTCCTGACCTCAAGTGATCCACCCACCTCAGCCTCCCAAAGTGCTGGGATTACAGGCGTGAGCCACTGCACCTGGCCCATTCCCTCCTTAAACTTTAACCCGGGAGACCCCTGGTCAGCTGGAAGACCCAGGAGTGAGGCCCGGGGACAGCCGCATGGAGCCTATGGTCCGGGGGCCTGGCTGCTCCAGTGTCCCCATCCCAGGAGGTAGAAGCAGCCACCCACCGGCCCCCAGCAAGCACTCACGGCTGCGGTCCTTGTTCCAGGCGTGGCAGCTGATGGGCTCCACCAGGAAGCTGTGGTAGGCCATGGCGGCTTGGCTCCTGTGCCCGAGAGAGGAAGAGAGAATCCACGTCAGCCCTGACCTTGCCCCTGACTTTACCCGGATACCAGGCCCCAGCTGATCCTCAAGGGCCTCACACCAGGGAGGCCCCTCAGTCTAGAGAGGCAGCTGTTTGCAGAGACGAGCAGCAGGGGCCAGCCCTGGCTCCTAACTGGCCTGACATGTTGCTTCCCCTCCTGGGGCCTCAGTTTCCCTCCTTATAAAAGGGCAGCTTTCACGGGATATCTCTGAGGCTCCAGGGACAGGGTGGAGGAGATAGTACTACAGGGGAGATGCTCCCTGGGGCGGGGTGGGGTGCTAGCCGGACAGGCCCCTCACTTGTCACCTGTGCCTCAGTTTCCTCACAGGATGGACCCCCCCCCCCAACTTCCCTGCCCCATTAAGGATGGGATGAAGATGAAGTCATCCAGGCCAGGCCCGGTGGCTCATGTTTGTAATCCCAACACCTTGGGAGATCGAGGTGGGTGGATCACTTGCAGCCAGGAGTTCAAGACCAGCCTGGCCACCATGGGGAAACCCTGTCTTTACTGAAAATACAAAAAATTAGCCGGGTGTGGTGGCAGGCACCTGTAGTCCCAGCTACTCGGGAGGCTGAGGCAGGAGAATGGTGTGAACTCGGGAGGCGGGGCTTGCAGTAAGCCAAGATCGCACCACTGCACTCCAGCCTGGGCCACAAAGCAGACTCCATCTCAAAAAAAAAAAAAAAAAATTAGCCAGGTGTGGTGGCGCCTGCCTGTAATACGCACTACTCAGGAAGCTCGGTGACACGGTAAGACTCATCTCAGGAAAAAAAAAAAAAAAAAAGAAAGAAAGAAATGAAGTAATCTCATAAACCACCTAAAAAGGTGTCCAACACATGGCAGGTTGGCCCTGCCGTGCTCAGAGCCCTGGTCTTCCCCTACACTACTCAGACGGGGAGAGGGGAGGTGGCCGATATACAGGGGCTCATGGGTGAGGCAAAGGCAGGTATTTAACAGATATATCCCATTCTCCATCCAGACACCCACTGGCTGCACCCAGGGCTGGGAGGAGGCACAGGGCTAGGCCAGGCCTGGGTGATGGCTCTTGGGGAGGCCCCAGGGTGACCCAGTCTTGAGGAACTGAAGGAGGGAGTTTTTTTTTTTTTTTTTGAGACAGGGTCTCTCTCTCTCGCCCAGGCTGGAGTGCAGTGGTGTGATCATGGCTTACTATAGCCATGAACTCCTGCGATTACAAGCGTGTGCCACTGTGCCCAACTAATTTTTAATTTGTTTGTAGACGGGGGTCTCACAGTGTTGTCCAGGCTGGTCTCAAGCTCCCAGGCTCAAGAGATCTTCCCTTCTCACCTGCCAAGTATTTGGGATTACAGGTGTGAGCCACTACACTCGGCCAGAACGAAGGAGACTTGGCAGCCCCCTAGACTAGCCCCAGCACTGAAGGGGAACCCTGGCAGAGGGCAGCGACTCATCTTCCCACCAGCCCAGCTCAGTCCCCACCAGCCTGTCCCAGCCTCCTCCACCCACCGCTGAGTGTCAAAGGAGCCCACCAGGCCTGAGGTGGGGTGAGATCACGGTCTCAGCGCAGTTCCTCAAGCCCATCTCTCCCCGCCTCCATGACTCAGTTTCCCAGCATCACAGGGACCTGGGAGTAGAGGAGCCCAGCCACATGCCCCTGGACATGTCACCTGCCTTCTTTGAACCTCAGTTTCCTCATCTGTAAAATTGGAGCAGGAATCCTGCATCCCAACAGAGGTGCTGAGAGCTGGAAGCAGATGATACACAGCACCTGGCCTCCGTGACGAGGTGCCACGAGGTGGTTACTCTTAGCCTGTGATGGACGTGATATACCAGCCCTGATGCGCCCTTTGAGGAGCAGGCCTCCCCAGCCGACCAGAGGCCGATTCTGGGGCACAGAGGCACGCACCTGCCTCGGGCTTCCATGCTGGCTGTACCCTCGGCCCGTGACACTCTTCCCCCAGATACCGGCACACACAGCTCTCGCTCTGGTGCTGCCATTCAAGTCTGTGCTCAAATGTCAACTTTTGGGGAGGCCTTCCCTGACCCCCTCTGCTGGAAACTGCAGCACCTCCCACGGTCCAGCACTTCCTAATTCCCTATTTCCGATTAAATTTGTTCAGCAGTCACCATCAGACATGGACTCATTGATCTGGCCTGCTGCCTTCCTCCCCTGCTGGAATAGAACCAGCTTGGCAGAGACACATTTTTGTTTTATCTTATTCTCGTTTCTATTTCCACTGCTTAAATGTTTAGCACATAGTAGGTGCTCAAGAAATATGTGCTGAACAAATTTTTCATTGCCATTAGTGACCAACAGAGTACATTCTCAGAAACGTGTGTGTGTGTGTATACATATTTGAGACAGGGTCTCGCTCTGTTGCCCAGGCTGGGGTGCAGTGGTGTGATCATGGCTCACTGCAGCCTTGACCTCCCAGGCTCAAGTGATCCTCCTGCCTCTGCCTCCCAAGTAGCTGGGAGTACACACTCACGCCACCCTACCCAGCCCTCAAAAATATTATCATTAAATAGGTTAGGAGTAAGGCCAGGCACGGTGGCTCATGCCTGTAATCCTAGGACTTTGAGGGGCTGAGGCAGGCGGATCACTTAAGGTCAGGAGTTCAAGACCAGCCTGGCCAACATGGTGAAAGTCTGCCTCTACTAAAAATACAAAAATTAGCTGGGCGTGGTGGCTCATGCCTGTAATCCCAGTACTTTGGGTGGCCGAGGCGGGTGGATCACCTGAGGTCAGGAGTTTGAGACCAGCCTGGCCAACATGGTGAAACCCCGTCTCTACTAAAAATATAAAAACAAATATACCAAATTAGGCCATGGGGTGTGCACTGTAATCTCAGCTCTCAGGAGGCTGAGGCAGCGATAACCTGTTGAACCTGAGAGCGGCAGGTTTGCGTGCAGCCAAGATCACACTTGGAATCCAGCCTGGGTGACAGAGCGAGACTCTGTCTCACAAAAAAAAAAAAAAAAAAAAAAAAAGGCCGGGCGCGGGGCTCAAGCTGTAATCCCGGCACTTTGGAGGGCGAGACGGCGGAATCACAGGTCAGGAGATCGAGACCATCCTGGCTAACACGTGGAACACCCGTCTCTACTAAAAGATACAAAAAATTAGCCGGGAGCGTGGGCGCCGTGTAGTCCCAGCTACTCGGAGGCTGAGGCAGGAGGACATGGCGTGAACCGGGAGGCGGAGCCTGCAGTGAGCCGAGATCGCGCCACTGGCACTCCAGCCTGGGCGACAGAGCAAGACTCCGTCTCAAAAAAAAAAAAAAAAAAATTAGGATGAATGTGTGAAAAATAACTTACAATAATAAATAAATAAATAATGTTATTAAATTGGGCCGGTGCAGTGGCTCATGCCTATAACCCCAGTACTTTAGGAGGCCTAGGCAGGAGGATTGCTTGAGGCCAGAAGTTCAAGACCAGCATGGGCACTACAGTGAGATCCTCTCTCTACAAAAATTAAAATAAAAAAATGTGTGCAGGGTGTGGTGGGCACGTCTGTATTCTC